TTATCTGGAAATCTGCAAAGTGGCAAAAAAATTTGGATCTCTCACAACACTTGCTGGTTGTGCATTGAGGAAAACTAAATTTCCCACAGCCAATTAACAACCCACCCCGCACAACTATCTTTCCTCTCCTAAAATAAAATATGTGTACAAATTAGGAGGACAACTTGTCAGCTGCCATAATTCAACTGGGATCAATTCACGTCAGTGGTGAGTTGGGGCCCATTCTGCTTAAACTCTGCTCTTTAAATGAAAACAAATTCACTCCATGTCACTGTAAGCACAGGTGCAAAAATTACCTTCCCAAAACTTAGAATTTTGTTGAGCATATTTATTCTGGAGGTCGAGTTGGATGGTGATGAAATATCTTCCAAGGTTTTTTCCAAGTTCGCTATTGAATCCGATAATGCTGTAATAATGAGAATTTTCAAACATTATATTCACTCTTCTCTCACAAATAAGGCCATAACTTTTAACTTTTTAAATAAATCAACATATCCAATAGCACAGCTAGCAATCCTACATCTTTGCTTGTATGATCACTACTAGGGCTGGGTGAAAAAGAGATTTCCCATTGTACAAAAATTGTAGCGCTATCAAAGCATTTCTCCTCCCAAATTGGCACAAAAAGTAATACATATTTGTTGTGAACCAACGTTTTTTGTAAAAAACATCAGTTTTGGTCACTCTCCAAAGATTTCATTTTGATCGCTTTGGAATGTTTTGTTTTGATTTTGAATGTTACGAATAATTTTTTTATAATAATGAACTCAAATGTAAAACAAAAATTAATTTCAAACCAATAAAGCAGAACTTTGTGTTTGACAAAATGTTTTGTTTCGACATTTTTTGAGTCTCATGACCTTTATTTTCAAAAAAATTGGATCTTGAAATATGGATTGAAACCAATCTATTTCTATAATATTTGGGTTTCAACAGTGGCATTTTCTCATGGAAATTGTTTCCCAAAAAGCTCTTGTCACTACTCTGGCTTCAAAGATGCATGTCAATATCAAATATGTAAGGAATTTATCAGCTCTAATGAAATCCTAAATGTCATGTTTTCCTTTTGCAACCTTTTAAAAAACTCATCCCTTTTATTGAGTCTTCACCTTCACCTTGGCCTTACAATGTAATGAAGGTCAGACTGGGACTGTGATTGGATGGGACAGCTCTACGGAATGCCAAAGTACTGCAAGAAGCGATCTCAATGATTCACCGGGTGGCAGTGTTTATTCTGAGCCAGCTTCAGTGTGTTTACGCTGCACACCCTCTACTGAGGTAAATCGGCATTGAAGTCAACAGTCTCAGAACTATTTGTATACATTCACGTGTTCCCAACATTCTAAGAATTACTTGTATGCATTCACGTGTTCTCAACATTCTAAGAATTACTTGTATACATTCACGTATTTGTTGAAATCAATGCAGTTATTATGCCAATTTACATCTGACCTGTAATCTTTTCAATGAGGTGTAAAACTTAAATTCTCCTGACCACCTGTGGTCAGTAGAGCTGTGTGAATGCTGCAAAACAAAGCCCCTCAATATTCATCTAAATATTTTTATGAATCTCTTTTGCATTTTCATCCACTTGTGTCCTGTTCTCCAACTATTCTAACCAATGAGTTAACTAGCAGGAATCGAATGGAAATAATGAGTACGTAATACATGTTACAGAATATGAACTGTGAATTCATACTTTGAGAATCAAGTTCCCATAACTTAATTAATTCCCATCTTTAATGTCTAGGAAACCCCGGGTATAATGCTGAATGAATGAGCTACAGAGAAAGGATTATTCCCAGGAATTTATCAGCTGAAGAATTGAAGAAGAAATGTGCAAAAAATAGTTTGTGGAGGAATTATGAACAGGGAAAAGCCAATATTAGTTACATGCATATTTGTTTATGAAACAGCTGAGCACCAAATATCTCATGGAATTCCTTTGAAGAAAATGCTTGTGTTCTAGCCACATTCTAACACTGTATGTGGGTTCAGGGAGGGCTTAAGGTCTTACCCCCTAAGGCAGTGTTTCTTAAACTTTGTTCCATGGTACATCAGTGTGCCGTGAGGCAGTCAGAGGTATGCCATGGAGAACAACACAGTTCAAAATGGCTGCTCTTAAAGGGGCAGGTGATCTTTTTTTCTCAATAACTTTCCCCTCACCCCTTTTTTCTGCTCAATAACTTTCCCCCGTCCCTTTTCCCCCTCAATCTTTTTTTTTTCCTCAACAAAAAATTCTTGGTGTTCCTCATAAAAAAAATGATTGTTTGGTGTACTTCCTCGGTCTTAAAAAGTTTAAGAGACACTGCCCTAAGGGATTAAGAAATGTTTGAGCTTTGTAAAGATGTTTATTTGTGATCATTCCCACCAGTTTAATATAATAGCACTAATACACTCAAGCGGCCATAGAGAACATATCAATCATTTCAACAGCGCTCTTCAAGAAATCATGTCTCTGCCAGGAGAGCTTTAAAAGATGAACCTTTGAAAGATTAGACCTTTTCATGCAACACACTGAGAACTCTCTAAGCATGAACAGAATTGAATAACCTACCTCGTGAAGCATTCCTGTTTTTTGGAACCTTGGCACTAGGCGGTGATGGATGGACGGCCTCCCCCAAGTTAGATGATCTTTTCTCCTTTCTGATACAAAGGAAGAGACAAGATCAGTCACTCCACAGATAGGTGCTTAAAACTGAACGGATGCTAAATCAGAAATGAGGTACAGTTGGAGTTGACTTTCAGGAGTGATAAAGGGGTTTGATTCATGTCTACTTCTGAATCCTGGCTCATTCCCACTTGGAACGAACCCCCAAAACTCTGAAACTCTCAGTGGAAACTCTCAGTCTCACATGGGTCCAGGGGCAGACTGAGGTCACCTGAGGTGCTCAGAGGAAGCTGGAAGCCATAAGAATTCCACTCCATTACTGCCTGCCAGGCAAGCTGCAGAGGAACCAAGAAGCTCAGGAGATTAGGAGCTAGAGTTCTTAGTGCTTCCAGGTTCTCTGCCACCAAGGAGCTGGGCAGGCAAGAGAACCAGACAGGTTTTAGAAACAAGACAGGCAGGAGTCCATCAGTTCCATCGCAACTTCAACCAAACCCAACCATCCTTATGAAATGTCCCAGCCGAGCTTTTCCGACCAGCTCTACTGTCTCGGCTAAAAACATTTTAGTTCAAGAACAGTCGCCAAGGGTACATCTACCGTGCTCTGCCCATTTCCTGAGCACGTGTTCTTCACACGGTGCACCCGCCAAGTTGCTGGCTCCGGTTTCCCGGAGTGTACAGACCCAACTGATGGCTCTGCTGGATACATGGGATGGGCAGTCATGTTGTCCCATAGCACACCAAGGACAAACAGCTAGAAAGGGTACATCTGGAAAATGCATTGGGAAGCCGGGGGCAGGCCGGTCTGACTCTGGCCTACGTAGGACCGTAGAGATGCACCAGCATAGGTGTGCGATCAGGGTTTAGAAGTTCAGCACGAACGCTCAAGCACAGGCGTGGAAGCACTGAGCCTGCCGACTCGTGCTCCATGACCCAGGCTTACACTGCAGCGTAGACCCATTCTTACCCAGCGTTTGTACAATGCCAGGCACAGTGGCTCCCTGCTCTTGGCTGGGGCCAACAGAAATGATGGCATTCTCTCTAACGCATGCATTTGGCCTATCGTTGCAGTTGCTTTGATATGGTTTCTGCTGGTTTCAATGAAACAACGGATCATCTATAGCATCTGGCCCACCCATGCCAGGTGATAGGTCATTCTGCCATGCTGGCAGCTGCAATTTACCCTCATTTAGGACTCAAAGGAATATTGACAAAGCATGAACGTACAGAGGTTCCACTAAGCAAAATATTAACCCCTCCAGTGGGAACCTATCCCACCCCTTTATTTCTCTGACAACCTTCCTTCAGCCACTCTTGTGTGAGTATGTTGAAGATCAGAAGATTTTCTGATGGTTGGAAAGCATCAGGGAATTGAAATGTGGCTGTCAGATCCCTCTATGCTTATTTTCACAGAAACATTTTGGAAATGCCCAGAGGGCAATTTGCCCATTGTTACACAGGTTTCTAAAGCACTGTACCCGCAAGAATTGCTCCATCACTCGTGGAGAGGCATGCCCAAAACAGCACGCCTGTATGTCCTGTACGTCCAGGCTATACGCTCCCTGGATTCTGACCCCCTTACCGTCTGATTGGGGAGCTGCCAAGGAGTCTTGGTAGCAGATCTTCTGGTGTGTACGGCGTGGCCTTGCACTTGGCATCTGAGTCGCAGAGCACGGTTTGCAGGAAGGGGAACAAACCGGCACTGGGGAGGTTCCGAGGCGCTAGATAACCTGGAAAAAGAAAAAAAATCTCATTCCTATCACGCGGTGATTGGATTGTGGATTCCTATAATTGGATTGCATCCAATTCTGGGCCCCCATTTCAGAAAGAATGTGGATGCATTGGAAAGGGTCCAGCAGAGGGCAAGAAAAATGATCAGGGGGCTGAAGCACATGACCTACGAGGAGAGGCTGAGGGATTTGGGATTGTTTGGTCTGCGGAGAAGAGTGAGGGGGGAGTTGATAGCAGCCTGCAACTACCTGAAGGGGGGTTGCAAAGAGGATGGAGAGAGGCTGTTCTCAGTAGTGACAGATGGCAGAATGAGGAGCAATGGGCTCACGTTGCAGTGGAGGTGCTCTAGGTCGGATATTAGGAAAAACTATTTCCCTAGGCGGGTGGGGAAGCACTGGGATGGGTTCCCTAGGGAGGTGGTGGAATCGCCATCCCTAGAGGTTTTTTAAGACTTAACAAAGCCCTGGCTGGGATGATTGAGCTGGCGAGAGCGTGTTACAGGACCCGGCTATGATGATCTGCAGAGGATAGGAGTTGATCTGGCCCCCTTGACAGAGCGTTGGCCCTGCAACTCAGGTAAGTCACAGCAGCTGCAAGGTGCAGGCGAGGGGTATCAAAGGACTATACTGTGTCCCAGAACAGCTGCAGTGTGCGATGCAGCTGCCATGCCCAGACGTTGCCCCAGCACGCCTTGGGCAGGTCCGCTCTCTACTCGGGGGTTGCAAGGATCACGAACAGACCTATAGAGCTCTGGCACTGTGGGCATGGCCTCTTTATGCCAGCATGCGATGCTTCCTGGGTCACTCCACGTCTCTCTGAGAGCACCCCGCTAGCGGTCGCCTTTCTCGGGAGCGACTCTGGCCATCCTGCCGCTCCCAGACCAGGCCTTGTCCTCTGAGATTGGCCCTGATTCCCAGCAGATCTGACGTCCGTTCAGTACCCACTTCCCCTCTGGGCAATATCCATGGGGTAACCAGCAACACAACTGCCTTGTTCCAGGCAAGCATTATTTATTTGGGGCAAAAGCATTAGAGAAACAGACCTTAAAACAACAGCAACTTCAGGAGGGCATCTAGTCTAGTCCTGCCCAAACTGGACCAATCCCAGCTTTGTCAAGCCAGGACTTAAAAACCTCTAGGGATGGAGATTCCGCCACCTCCGTAGGTAACCCATTCCAGTGCTTCACCACCCGCCTAGTGAAATAAATTTTTCTAATAGCCAACCCAAACCTCCCCCACTGCTACTTGAGACCATTGCTCTTCATTCTTTCATCTGTCCCCACTGAGAACACCCTGTGTCCGTGTTTCCGTGTAGTTGAAGGCTGCTATCAAAACGCCTCTCCCTCCTTCTTCTCTTCAGAAGAATAAACAAGTCCAATTCCCGCAGACGCTTCCCAAAAGTCATGTGCCCCAGACCCATAATTATTTTCCTTATCCTCCATTAGACTCTCTCCAATTTGTCTTTTATCTTTTTTTACTCAATTTTCATCTTTTAAATTAGACATCAGATGGAAATCGGCCTTTGCTAGCAATGAAACCCAGCACATGCACACCCCTCTGGATGAAAAGCACGTTCCCTCTCTACAAACATGATAGGTTTCTTAATTCATTCCTAACTGTTAAAGAAAAGTTAAAAAAAAAATCCCAACCAAACAAAACTCACACCACAATGAGCTGCAGATCTACAATTGAATAGATCTACTTCATGACTACATCTAGACTGGCATGATTTTCCACAAATGCTTTTAACAGAAAAGTTTTTCCGTTGAAAGCATTTGTGGAAAAGTGTCTAGATTGGCACAGACGCTTTTCCACAAAAGCACTTTTTGCGGAAAAGCGTCCGTGCCAATCTAGACGCGGTTTTGTGCAAGAAAGCCCCGATCGCCATTTTCGCGATTGGGGCTTTTTTGTGCAAAACAATACCGCGTTGTCTACACTGGCCCTCTTGCGCAAAAGCATTTGCGCAAGATGGCTTTTGCCCGAACGGGAGCAGCACAGTATTTCCGCTAGAACACTGACAATCTTAAATGAGATCGTCAGTGTTCTTGCGGAAATTCAAGTGGCCAGTGTAGACAGCTGGCAAGATTTTCCGCAAAAGCAGCTGCTTTTGCGGAAAAACTTGCCAGTCTAGATGCAACCCATCAGAGTTGGCTTCTGCCCCCATATAGAGACATATTAGGCACATCTGCAGCTCCTGTAAATCTGCATGACTTCATTATAGTCATGATTGAGAGTTGCACTGTAAATTCCAACATTTTGACACTTGTTTTCATTCCAAAGTGGAATAAAAAGTCAAAATTTTGAAATGCCCTGCAGAATGGAAATTCAAAAATAATAGATTAAGAACCATCAAAATGTTTCATTTTGATAGAATAAAAAGACTTTGAGTCTAATGAAGCATTATAAATTATTATCATGTATCTATAAAACATTACAATTAATATTTGAATGTGCTATAAAAGCTTAATCAAACTATCTTGAAAAAAGACTTTTCTACCTTCTCAAAATGAAATGTTTTGACATTCTTAAAACAGCAATGTCTAAATGGTTCATTCTGACATTTTTTCCACCCAAAATTGTGTCCAAAAAAATCAATATGTCCCCCATGAAAGGTTTTGGCTTTGACACAACCACATTTTCTGATGAAAAACTGTTCCATCAAAAATTTTCAACCCATTCTACTTGACGGAAGCCCCTAAAGCTACATTGATTTGCACCAGATGAAGATTTGCCCTGCTGATTTCGAGGGGGCTTTCAATGAGTATTGGGGTCCTCTTAAAGGATTGGGTCCCAGAGAAATACAGCCAAGATCCCTGATATGCAGACACGCAGACCTCAATTTGACCTTCGATCAGTTCGTAACTGGGCGGTTACATTCAAGTCATGCATTTCTGTTGTTGTGGCCTCTCTACACTCTCTTGTTTTATATTCACCATCCCTGTTTGGATCAGGATGCTGGAATGTGAAATATAATGAAAGAAATGTAAAACATCAACGTTTTCAATGGTAATGGAGTAGGATCAAAATCCTTATTTTATCTGAACCTGTAAACCCATCTCTAGTATCAGCTTGGAATCATCAGCTGGTCCAGATGAGTCAAGATTGGAATCTTGCCAAATTAAAGGCAGAATGAAAATGAGGTTTCAATTTGCTTCATTACAATCATGAGGGCCAGACACTAAATAAGATCCAGAATTCCCTAAAGTTTGAGGTTTTCATATCTAGTGTCGTGGTGCAGGCCTCATGTATGGGAAAAATCTGCATGAAGGTGCACAAAATCAAGGAGAAAGTTAAATGAACACCTTCTATCCTTAGAAAAATATTTCACTCTTGCTCTGGGTAGAAGACTGAGGTTGTTCCTTTTACCAAAACTCATTTACTTCTCCCTCCTTTATTTATACTGGATGGCGAGGCATTATCCCCATGTTATCAACATGGGGCAAAGAGTCATGTTAAAATATTGACCAGCCCCGTAACGACTATGTGACCTTTAGGGTGAATCTACACAGCACCGTAACTTGAATAAGTTATGCAATTTGAGCTGAGCAAATTGTGTATCTTGTTTCGATGCTATTTCAAAATAGCTTATTTTGTCATTTGGCACTGTCTCCACAGCACCAAATTTTGAAATAAAGCGCTATTCCGAAACGTCCCTTACTCCTCGTAGAATGAAGTTTACAGGGACATCGGAATAGCGAGCCCAAAATAACAGGCTTGCTTTGAAGATGCGGGATAGCTATTTCGGGATACTCCAGTAACCTGAAATAGCATTGCAGAGTAAACCCCTTAAGGACTACTGCCTGAAGAGAGTGACTGGCATCTCTCCAAAGCGTAAGCTCTGACACCAGATATACATATTAAAAAAATCAAACGCCTTCAGAATTATCTGCTCAATGATCCAATAACTAGCTGGCCCATCCCTCGCTCTCTGAGACTGAGAAGATATTACGCATGAACAGAGGGGAAAGGATCTAATTGAAAAGGATTACCAGTTTTCCTCTGCTGACAGCAATGTGATTGATTGTGACACACTGATAACCGAGTTGTTGGCAACTCTCTGAAAGCCAGGCCTGAACTTGCCCAGGGAAATGGGGCAGGCAGCACCTACTCATTAGAGGTTGAAAATTGACTTCATTGGGAGCAAAGGGAGGTCGGTGCTGACTGCTTTTGGAAATCCTCCTCTACGGTTTGCTCCCTTCATTTTCACAGCCACACAGATATCAGTGCGGTCAGTGGCCAGTTGGCTCCCACTTAGTCTTCTGCCTGAGCATTCAGTCTGTGGAAAGCCTCGCCCGAACCATTCATAGTTGTGAGCTTAGTCTGGCTCCTAATGGGCAGGTCTCCACATTGTCCCCACAATCAATACTCATAGGCAGCCTGTCCTACAGAGAGGCCAGTTCTCAGCTCCATAGTTTTGTATCTGCAAGGATTGAAGAGAAGGAAACCTGCAGCCCTGAACTAGCTCCTTAAAAACACATGGTGGCAGCTACCACATTCTTTCATGGGAGAACATGGGATAATATTCTGAAAACTCAAAACAAGGCTTCTAAAATATCCAGATCCCAATTCCCAGGTTCAGATGAACTGTGCTTGGCAAGGGAACAGGGCTGGGAAGCAAAGACCCTCTCCCTCTTGTTTAGTTTCTCCCCTTTATATGCCCTTTGCTCAAGGTGGGAATTCTTTGTGCTCAGTTCAAATTTTTCTCATCTAGCATGGAAAAGTATCAGATCCAAAATGGGTTCTAGCAGCAGGTGGCCTGGTTACATGTCTTTGAAGGACCAATCACTGTTTGGACTTACCAAACTAACAAAACCTTTCACAGGTCATTGGCTTGATCACCGAGTATCACTAAAGTATCACTAATGGCTGTTATTAGACTACCTGGAATATTAAAACAGGTTCCGGCTTAATATTTCTAACTTCACATATAGGAAAGATACATGCACAAAAATAGAATACACACATTCAGGGGATCTTGAATGATAGGTTACATGACCTGT